AAAAGAGTGTTCGTAAGTACTAATTTTCGTAATAAATGAATCGTATAGTCACAACGAGATTTATGGTAAAAGTGGTGGATATATATATGCAATGTCATATACTAAAGGCATTGGTGAGTCAATATCGCATTCGTCAATAACTATTTCATTAACAATTAATCATATAATGACAATGAGTTGTGTGATTATAATGTTCGAATGTCGTATAGTAAAGGAATTGGTGGGCCAAAATCCTGCTATGAATTATATAATTTTGTAACAACGAGTCGTATAGTCACAGTGAGTTACTGTGATGGAGAATTAATTTGGAATGTAATATAATAAAAGCATGAGTGGGTTGAAATCACGATGTTGAACACATAATTTTCACAACAAAGGATCATATGGTTACATGTTACAATGATGTAAAATTTAGATGTGATGTTTTATATTAAGAGATAATCACATAAAAATACCCGAATTTTTATAAAAATCTCAAATAAATATCCGAACTATAAAATTGTCATATAAATATCTGAATTTTTCACAACTTTCATATAAATACCCAGACTTTTAAATTTTTTCCAAATCAAATACTCATTCGTTAACGTCGTTAAACGTAACTGCTGACTCAGTAAAAAAAACTACTGACTCAGTAAAAAACTGCTGACTCAACAAAAAATATATTATTAAATATCCAAATTTTATCTACATGTATTTTTAAATTAATATATATATATATATAAATTCATATATATATACATATATATATTAAAAATAAAATTATTTATAATTAATAAAACACATATACACATAACTACAATATATATATATCATTATTAATGCATATATATTAAAATAAAAATAATTATAATTAAATTTATATACATACATAATATACATATTAAAATAAAAATAATTATAGCTAACATAAATACATATAATATATATTAAAAATAATATTTATATATATATATTAGTTATATATACAAAATATACATATACAACTAATATTAAATTTAGGGGTTTAAAGTTTATAATTATATATATTAGTTATATATGTATATTTTGTATATATAACTAACATATATACATATAATAAATTTATATATACATATAAATTTATATGTACATATAATAAAAATAATATTTATATGTATATATATTAGTTATAATTATTTTTATTTTAATATGTATATTATGACATGTAGATGAAATTTAGATATTTAATAATATTTTTTTTATTGAGTCAGCAGTTTTTTTTGCTGAATCAGCAGTTTTATGCTGAGTCACCAATTACGTTTAACGACGTTAACGGATGAATGTTTGATTTGAAAAAAAAATTAAAAATCTAGATATTTATGTGGGAGTTGTAAAAAGTTCAGGTATTTATATGACAATTTTATAGTTCGGGTATTTATTTGAGATTTTTATAAAAGTTGGGATATTTTTATGCGATTACCCCTTATATTAATTAAAGGCAAGCACTACAAAAGACTTACTCCATTGAAAATGACTAAATATCCATTGACCATCCAACTTTCCAACGGATAGATAACACTGAAGTCCTACACACGTTGTTATCTACGGTATCGCCGCCATCAAGTACTAGAGGCGCATACATCACTCTATGAAAATGGGGAGAGAATGACCACCGACCTCTATTCTCATCCTCCAAAATGTGGCCACTCATCAGGGTCCCGCGAACCGACAGTCCCCTGGAATGATATGATCTGGTTCAAAGGGTCTGTTCTGCGACTATCCTTCCTGCTATGGCAAACGATACAGAACAAGCTTCCCACTAAAGTCAGGATCGCTCGATGGAACCCGAACATCGACGTCAACTACTGCTTATGTGGAGAGAACCCGGAATCAGATAAACACTTATTTTTTGAATACACCTACAGCTCGAGGTTATGGCCTACCTTTGCCCGTTGTTGTTGGCCGTCCCCCTCCCCCCTTAGATTTATACTCTTGTAATATTTGGTTGCATCTGCCATGTAATGACAACACCAGGAGTAGACAGACTATAGTGAAGCTGATCATTCATGTTGAAGTCCATATGCTATGGCAAGAACGCAACAACCGAGAGTTCCGGAGGGAGTCGAAACAGGTGGAAACTTTGTGTGGCGATCTAGACCGCTACATCCGACAAGTGCTTCTGGCAAGGAGAATTGTTGACTCATCTGATAGATGTTCCTTACTGCAGTATTGGTATTTTTTGTTTTCAAACCGCATGTAATCCTCTGTAGCTGCTACTAGTCTCACATTTTGCCCTTTTGAGTATGGGAATTCCTTGACTTTTGTATAGAGTCCAGATTGGATGTAACAGACAATCTCGGTTTTGATATAATACAAATCGCATTGAAAATTAAAAAAAGAACTTTCTTAGGATTTTCAACGGATAAATCAGTTGGAAACGGTCGTTGGAAATCTTGATCTGTTGGTTATTTCAACATGCGAGTTTATCAAATCGAACCAGGGTTGATTTATCGGTTTCATACAATGAAAAAAATTAAAACCTAAACAGAAACCAATCTCACAAACCTGAATATCTTATATGGCACCGAAGGAATCGAAACTTACCTTGTTCCTGAAGAAGGTTGAAGTAGAGATCCATCCGGGGCTTATTTTAATCACCTAGGACTGAAAGTACAATCCCTCTACACGTATCCACTGTTGGTTTAGATGCTCTATGATGTTCTACGATACGAGTACTGATACATTTGTATTGACATTTTCATGAATGGTTGTATGAATGAATGTTTTTTTCATTATTTGTTTGTCATATTTGATGTATGATGAAATTCATGTTTCGTTATGAACGATTCTAAATTCTGTTGTCGCATATCGTTGTAAGAATAATGATATATGAAGATAAGCATGAGATGTGACAGATGATTACGAAGATGATTATGTGTATTGGATGTGATACATGTGTACCGAGTCTAGAATTTATAACCCGATTCACAACTAACCGCAAGGTTATGGATCGTCGTAACACGGGATCGAACGCAAGGATCGATAGCTAAATCTAAACCTAATCGAAACTAAATCAAAATATAGCAAGTAAATCGTGATGGATGTGATATGAGAAAAGAATAACGTAGCAAGGCTGCAAAAATAAGTAAACTATCAATCAAAGATGACCATGGATATCAGGATCGTATTCGAGTAGATAGACATATACTACGCATTCGAGAATCACGATATTGAATTTGTATTCGGGAATCATCAAGCAACAAAGATAGAGAAATCACCTCCCTACATATAATCCACTACCTAAAGTTCTCTAAATCCATATCCCTATGTGATTTATCGAACTTAGATGCATGAAAAATGATATCATCAATCCTAGATCGATCAAACCATATTCCTATATGAATAACACAATCTATTCTATCTATTTTGATCCGAAACTGAACCCATATTGGTTGGTATTTAAATAGGTGTTCACGCATAAAGAGATTAAAAGAACTGGAAAATATAGATTACGGAACATCACGAACGAAACGAGAACATTTGAAGTGGTTTCGGAGAAAATGTGAAGCTTAGAAAAATCAGATTTTGCAAGTCAAATAACTTTTATTTTACAAGTCCAAATCATGCATTATCTAGATCATTAGAAAGCTTATTTCAATATCTACGCATAGATACCAAGATCATCCAAATCCGATATCAGAGCAGAATGTTATGAGTGAATATGTGAAGCCCGTCAAAATTGCTCAGAGATTTAACCCGATCGTGTCAAATCTCAAAAATACGATCGGGTCACTTTGCGAAAAATCGGAAGCTGGCACAGGAGAACGACTCGATCGTGTCACTTATGGCCGACACGATCGTGTCACTTAAGGATTTTTTTCGAAATATTCTGATTTTTCCTAGATGAAAGAGGGAACAATTAAAGAAAACCTCTAGGTCAAAAATTATTAAAACTTTTTACAGAAAACACACCCTAAAACACACAAAATGGGCGACTATCAAGAGACAAGAGATCAGAGTACGAAGATTACGAAGCCGAGAAATCGACTGAGCATTCTTCCTTTCTTCTATTTTGTGATGTTTTGTTGTATTGATATGAACCATGCCGTCTCGATGTTTAGCGAGTAGTTCCATAACTGTAAGATAAAGATTTGCAATGTAGAGATCTTTGGTTTTTAATTTCAGATTATGTGATATTATTTATTTGATTCAGTTTATTGGGTTGAGTTTAACGGTTTTGATCTTGTTGACCACTTGATTGAATGAACTTAGACTTTTAATTTGCATAGAAATATGAGATTCTAATATGGAAATAACTCAATAAATAGAACATGTATTGCATCGAGAGATGGATTTTTGCTTAGAAATTATGATAGCGTTCATTCATGCATCCAGAGTTTAGACTATTGAATTGAGAGATTAATAAGATAAAGCCAGAATAGTGAGATTAGACTCAAGAGAGTTAATTTCTATTTTAGAGCTTGAATTCCTCGAATTGGATTTATAAATCACTGAGTTTGCATCTTTAAAAGACAAAAGAGATAGTAGAACGAGTGCAAGTCAAGTACGGTGCGAGTGTATCATATATGATGGCATTGAGAGAAAAGCACAGTGCTGAAAATGAGATTCGTGTTAATCATATTGAACATTATAGTAGACTTCCTGGTTGGTTGCACATGTTGACGGAAAGAAATCTTGGGACTATAGCGAGCATTCACTTGGAAGATGATAAAAAAACTTTCAAATATCTATTCATCGCCTTGGGTGCAACTATAAAAGGATGAAAGTATATGCGTAAAGTGGTTGCTATTGATGCAACATTTCTGACGAGCCAATATAAGGGAGCATTGATCGTGGCAACTGCCCAAGATGGTGATCATCACCAATATCTTTTAGCTTGGGGTGTGATAGATAGAGAGAAGGATGCTTCATGGTTGTGGTTTATGACAAAATTAAGCGAAGTAATACCGGATGGTTCTGATGTAGTTGTGCTATCTGACCGACATAAAAGTATAATCAAAGTTGTGAGAGGAGTATACAAACAAGCGCAACATGGCTTTTATGCGAGGTGTTAGTTTAGTGCTCTATGATGTACTGTTTATGAGCTTTATTTAGTTACATTTGATGTATTAATACTTTCTATGTTTTAGGAGAGTATTTGATTCATTACATGTTCTTGCATACTAGATGTATTATGAAATCCATGTATTGTTATGAACAATACTAAACTCCCTAGTCTTATGTCGTTATGGGAATAACGACATAATAAGACTAGTATGATGTGTGATAGATGATCATAGGTATTGGATACGATCACAATCATAGGTATTCGTTGGAGAACGGAATACTTGAGTGACTCGCATGAGATTGTCACATGGACTAGCGTCATGACTTGAATCTCATATGACAGTTCCATGATTGGATCCTAAGACCTGAGATATCTACGGAATCCAACATGAGGAGTTGCGTACTTTAATTACGTCAAACGTCTGCGTAACAGGAGGACTATAAAGGCATGTATCAGGTACGAAACGAATCATGTGCTGGATTGTAGATAGTCAAGACGGGATTTGTACCTCTCGTAAAAGAGAGAGATATCGCTGGGCCCCTCGTGTGAGCGCGACTGTAGAAATGTGTGGCCGCACTATAGATGAACGTCGTCTATTTCAGACAGTCGAACTCAGTGAACGAGAAAGCAGTCGAATCAAATAAGGTGGCTTGTCCATGCCTTATATTCAACATATGATATCATGATACAAAAGGATCATCAAACGGAATCATCTCTGGCGTTCGTAAGATCACGAACAAACTCTATTCGAGATAGGTAGTCATAGTGTCTTGCTAGAGACCGTCTATGACTTGTATATCCGGAATAGAGATTTCGGGTTATACTGCTATATCGAATGAGCCTACAGGGTCACACACGCAGGGAAGGACAAATGCACGAGAAAACGTCGAGAAATCTGGATAAGTGGTCCGGACCGTCCGATCTAGGAGTGACCGAACGGACCGGAGCATCTAGTCCGAACGGACCAAGTTGTTGGACCGAACGGACTAGAGAGTTCAGTCCGAACGGACCAAGTGTTGGACCGAACGGACTGACCCGTTAGTTCGAACAGACCCAGTTATGAAACTGGTCCGAACGGACCAAGTGTCCAGACCGAATGGACTACTAAGCAGTCCGTTCGGTCTGGGGTTCGGATTTAATTTTAAAGTCCGAATCTAGGGTTAATCACTTGAATAAGAGGAAAAATAGAACCCTAACACTAGTGAGCCGACTAAGAGAACTTCTTCAGACCTTTTTGGAGAGCCTAGAGGGTTGAAGAAGTGATCTTAATCTCTTTTTCTCAAAGCACATCATCGAATAGAAGATTCGTGTCCTAGCAGACAAGTTCCAAAGGTTGGAATCCAGCCCGAGGTGTGGATACGTGTAGAGGGCAAGGTATTCTTCCAACCTATAGTGATCAGACGAACCACTACAAAAAAAATGGTCATTTCCAACGGGTAAATTCGTTGGAAATGGCCAAATTTCTGTTGGAAATTAACGTTTCCAACTGTTTTACATCCGCTGCGCAAACCCTAGAACCGATCTCTTAGGAATAGGATTCGCTCATGAGATCCCAGGAAAACCCAACACGAGGCACATAGCACAAAATTTAAAAGTGCACGTTAACAGAGGCACAAGAAGAAAGGGTTCAAATGGTGAGACTGTCATTAAATTGTTTTTTAAATGTGCAGCAGCCTACACGATCAGTGAGTTTGAAGACCTGTACAATGATCTAAAGAGCAGATATGATTCTTGTGATTAATGTGATTGACTAATGTGACCAGTTTGACTACTATTATTTATGAACTAATGTGAATATATCTCATTATGTATAGATATCCCAAAGTAGCTGAATACATGCAGAAGGAAGAACTTGCGCCCGAAAAATGGGCAAGGTGTAAATTTAGGAGTGAAAGGTACAACTTGTTAACAATCAATGGGGCCGAATTGATCAACTCCGTATTGAAGAAGGCAAAAAAGTATCCAATCCTAAGTCTACTTGATATTTGTCTCGGAAAGACGGTGGAATGGTTTAACAGGCACTTGTTGGAAGCAGGTAGGGCTGATGAATCTCAAAAGTTAACACCAATTATTTACAAAGAGTTGCATGAACGTTACGAGAGGGCATGTACGTTTGACGTTCAAGAACTGAATCGTGTTACTGATGAGTTTGAGGTGAGGGATGACAAAAGTAGAAGACACTTGGTTAATCTTGGAGAAAGAACATGCGGTTGCAGAATGTTTGATGTGGATAGGTACCCTTGCAGTCATGCAATTGCAGCAGCACATATGATCGGAAAAGGCGATATGATATACGATCTATGTTCTGAATACTATACGCGAGATACATGGCATATGGCTTACCAAGAGACTGTGTATCCGGTTTCCGATTATTGTGATTGGAATCTGCCATCGTTCGTTGCATAAATGACATATTTAACGAGTTTTTGTTAACCGTAACTCATGCGGGAAAACACTATTTTCTACCATAAGCCAATGTGTTAGGAGAACACTATTAGAACTTTAGGGTTTCTTTGGGAGAACATGCATTGTAAGAAACAAAAAGGTGTTAAAATTTGAGAGCTAGATTTAGATTCAGCATAAGATACTTGATGAATGGATGATAATTGATAAGTTTACAGTTTGCAGTAGGCAAATTCGCGAAAACTGATAAGGTGTGACGAGTTTGACGGGTACTGACGGTGTGACGAGTTTGACGGTTTGACGGTTTGTGAAAACAAATCGTTGGTCTAAATTAAAGTTTAATGGTTCAATGTGGTATATAGGGGTCATTATAACATATTTAACGAGTTTTGTTAGCCGTAACTCATGCGGAAAAAAACTATTTCCTACCCTAAGCCAATGTGTTAGGAGAACACTATTAGAACTTTAGGGTTTCTTTGGGAGAACATGTATTCTGAGAAACAAATAGGTGTTAAAATTTGAGAGCTAGAATTAGATCCATTGTAAGATACTTGATGAATGGGATGATAATTGATAAGTTTACAGTTTGCAGTAGGCAAATTCGCGAAAACAGATAAGGTGTGACTAGTTTGATGGGTACTGACAGTGTGATGAGTTTGACGGGTACTGACGGTGTGACAAGTATGACGGTTTGACGAGTACTGACAATAGTATGAAGATTTTACCCGATAAAATACATATGATTAAAAGGATGTTCGTAGGAAATAAACGATAAAAATATATTCGGAGAGTACACATGATTCAAATACAACTAATTAAAAAGAGGATCATGGGTTCATGAAGAAGAATCTTGACGTTCCTCTGGAGGCACCGTTACTTCTTGGCCATTAGCAAATATATCGCAAGCAAGTTTTTTCACGTATAAAATATATTACCTCATCGTTGATGTCCTCTAATAACTTCGGTTCACCCTGTTGGGTTTTGCTACGGATTCCTAGCATGCGATCATATCGATCTAGGGTTTGGTTTACTAGGTTTCATGCAGCGGAAGAATAATCTAAACCTAGTCAAACGTCACACGCAACCAAAATCATCCGTAAAACCCCGTTCAATCGTGTATATCACCGTAGGAATCGAATACTTACCTCTTCCCGAAGATCTGAAAGTAGCAATCGATCCAGGGCCTGTTTTAATCACCAAGAGCTGAAAGTACAGCTCCTCTACACGTATCCACACCGACGGGAAGAATTCCAAACGCTTTTGGAACTGATCTGCTAGGATCTATGAAGTGAATAGGGTTTTCAAGACATTGGATCGAATCCCGGAAACTAGAACCTCAAAAGAAACGATTTTCTTGTGTTCTAGATCTGTCTTAGGGTTCTGTAAATCTTTCTTCTACTTAGGACGGCGTCCAACACCTCCTTATAAGTTAGAAACCCTAATCCTTGTGAAAAGAGACTTTTTCCGAGTATTGACTCAGTCCGAGTTAGAACTCTGACTCGGTCGAGTCAGAACGAATCAGCCCAAGCCCATTGTCAACTCTTGACTCGGCCCATTTAGTATTGACTCGGTCCGAGTCAAAACTTTGACTCGGTCGAGTCAAAACATCAGCCAAGTTTCTGGGCTTCGACCCGCATGGAATCCGAGTCAAATACTGACTCGGTGCGAGTCAGAAGGCTGAAACCGTCCCGACACTCTGATTTGATCCGAAAACGATTTTTCCGACCAAATCCAAGTCTTCCTTTCCGAAACTTCACATATAAGTCCATCCCTAATGGTGTGTGACCCTGTAGGCTCATTCGCAGTGGCAACAGCCTCGAGAACCATTCCCGATCTACAAGTCATGGTTAGCCTCTAGTAAGACGCCATGACCACCCACGTTGAATTGAGTTAGAGGTGATCTAACCAAGGCAATAACAGCTCTAGTTCTGATCCTTTATCTCACGATATCATATGTTGAACAAGGGCATGGTTTGAGCCACCCTTCAAGTTCAACCGCTTTCTCGTTTTGGCAAATCGACTAATAAAATAGATGCAACTTAATCTATAGCGTGACCACGCATTTTCATAGTCCGACTTCCACGAGAGGGCCCAGCGATATCTCTCCTATTGAGGAGGTGATAAGTCCCATATTGCATGTCTACTATCTCCATATGATTCGTGAACGTATCTGATCAACGCCATTATAATCATCCGGTTAAAGACGACGTTTGACGCAGTCAAGACACGCCACTCCTCATATCAGATACTCTAGACATCTCAGGTCTGAGGATCCAAGAACAAACCGCTTTATGAGATTCAAGTCATGACTCTGTCCATGTGACAATCTCATGCGGGTCAACCAGTCACTCGTTCACAACGAGTACCCATGATTGTGAAATGCATCCAATGCATCAATCACACCTCATGCTAGTCTTAATTCATCATAGTTCCCACAATGATAACTGACCAGGGAGTTTAGAATCATTCTATAATGATTCAAGGATACCGAAATATAACAAACATGCCAATCATATAACGGGAATGTAACGCATTCATAAATAAATGAATCAATACAAAGTCAAATGTCATATCATGGATCATCCTAGAGCATTACAACCAACAATAAAATCAACGGGAACATAGTAATTCCCGACCTTCAATGGGACGTCCTCGAGAATACCTGCAGGATACTTGACGGATCTATCTGCAAGCTGTAGTGCCATCCTCGTCGGCTTCAGATCTCCAATGTTGAG